TGCTGAGGCAGGAGAATCACTTGAACCCGGGAGGCAGAAGTTGCAGTGAGCTGAGATCATACCACTGCACTCCAGTCTAGATGTTGCAGCAAGACTCTTGTCTCAAAAAAAAAAAAAAAAGTATGTTTCACCGAGGAAATGGAATCATCTGTATACTGAAAACTACAAGGTACTGATAAAATAAACTGAAGGAAAAGCTGCTGCCTGTTCATGGATTAGAAGAATCAATATGGTCAATTTTCAATTCTACTCAGAGCTATTTATTTCAGTGCAATCCCTATCTATGTCAAAAAAAAAAAAAAAAAAAAGTGTCTTGAAAACAGAATAGAAGAAAAATCCTGAAATTCATCTGGAACCACAACAACCCGGAATAGCCAAGTCAATCTTGAGCCAAAAAACAAAACTGAGGTTATCAACTTACCTGACTTCAACATATACTACAAAGCTACAGTAACCAAAACAGCATTACACTCAAAAAGAAAGAAAGAAAAACAGCATTGATGTATGAAACAGAATAGAGTCCCAAAATAAATCCATACTAATTTTTGACAAAGGTGCCAAGAGCACACAATGCGTAAAGGACCGTCTCTTCAATGATTAGCATTAGGAAAACTCGATATTGACATGCAGAAGAATGAAAATAGGCTCTCTCACAATACACAAAACCAACCAAAATACATTAAGAACCTCAATGTAAGTCCCAACATTTCCACAACTAAGTATAAGGAAACACAGAGGAAATGTTCCAGGATACTGGTCTGGGCAATGATTTGCTTAATATGATGTAACAGGCAACCAAAACAAAAACAGAGAAATGGGATTACATCAAACAAAAAAAGCTTCTGCACAGCAAAAACAAAATGAAACAAAAACCAGTACAAACAGTGAAGAGAAACCTACTGGGTGAGAGAAAGTATCTGCATACCACAGGAATGATAAGAAGTTAATATCTAACATATGAGGAACTCAAAACTTCTCAATAGAAAGTTTTCAACTAACTCAATAACAAATGGGCAAAGAACCAGAATAGACATTTCTCAAAAGAAGATGCAGGAGTGGTCAACAGCTATTTGAAAATACTCAATATCATTAGTCATCAGAGAAATACAAATCAAAACCACAAAGAGGTGTCACTTCACTCCTGTTACAATTGCTGTGATGAAGGAGAAAAAAGTTAACAACTGTTCACAACGATGTGGAGAAAACAAAATCAATGCACACTGTCGATAAGAAAGTAAATTAGCACAGCCATTATGGAAAACAGTATGGAGGTTATTTCAAAAATTACAAATAGAACTACCATAGGATCCAGCAATCTCACTGTTAGGCACATATCCAGAGAAAAGAAAATCAGTATTATCAAAGTGATATCTGCACTCCTATGATTCTTTCAGCACCATTCACAATATCCAAGATATGGAAGCAACCCAAGTGTTCATCATGGGAAGAACAGATAGAGAAAATGCAGTATACATACACAATGGAATCATCTTCAGCCTTACAAATGGAGAAATCGTGCCATCTGTGATGAAATACAGATAAATCTGGAGGGCATTATAAATGAAATAAGCCAAGCACACAGAAGGACAGATTTTGCATGATCCCACTCACGCCTAATTCAGAAACATCAATCTCATAAATGTGGATTACAACAGTAGTTAACCAGAGCCTGGGGTACTAGGGGAGGTGGGGTTGAGGAGATGTTAGTCAAAGAATGTATATTTATAGTTAGACAGTAGGACTAAGTTCAAGAGATCTATTATTCAGCATTATGACTACAGTTAATGACAATATAGTGTATTCCTGAAAAATGCTAAGAGATTGAATGTTAAGGGTTCTCACCACAAAAATGGTAACAATACACATTTGTTAGTCACATTTAACCAGTCTACAAGGTATGTGTACTTCAAAACAACATGCTGTACATACATAACACATATAAGGTTGTCAATTTTAAAAATATTTTTTTAAAAAGTAAAAATATAGAGAAAAAATGTCGTGTGTTATTCATCATTGGAATGGTTTGAGAAATTTCAGTATCGTAAGCCCTACTCTCTTTTCAAAATATCCATCAGAGACCAAATACAAATCTTACAGTGCTATAAGCACAAAGTCATGTGACATAAATCCTGGCTTTCAGACACATTATAATTGAGACTGCAATGTTAGTAAAGTGGGAAATGCACCATATAAAGCATTTTATCTCATTTCCCATGAGGGTGAGAGCACCAGAATTTTGGCAGTGTTGCCTGCAGTGGCCAAAATGCTGTTCTGATTACAATGTCTGAAGAGTATTCGCAGAGATCCCAGCATCTTATGGAGCAAGAATAATGAGAAATGTTACATGAGACTAATTTATTTCATGCTTTTGGCATTACTCCAAGTAGGTTAGCATTAGTTGGCATCTCAAGTGTTTCAGCAAATCTGTTCAAGTTACCCAGTTTCCTTTCCTTTTAAAATCACATCTCAGTTGTGACAAATATACTTGTGTAATCAGAACTCCAATGCCACAGGAAATAGATGGCTTAGAAAGTTCCCACATGCCTGTTAACAGTCATAAGCCACCTTCCATACATCCTAGCCCTTAAAAGTGGCCACCCCATGCATTACTTCATCAGACTAATACCTTGTTTTTAAGGGTGGCATAATGTGTTTATGAAAACAAACACCACTTAAGGTATACAAATTGATACTCTTTTTACATATTCACTAATTGAGTTTACTCCCCAAAAGTCAAGATGAAGAATAATTTTTCAGTACCCCAAAAGTCCATTCTCAGTTACTCATCCCTACCTCAAGGTAAGTGCTCTTCTGTTCTCTGTGCACCAGATTTTTTATGTTCTTGAACAACATATAAATTAGAACCTCTTTTGAGTTTAGCTTCCTTTGCTCTAAACCATGTCAGTGATACTCTTCATGTTGCTCATCTTTTAAGTTTAGCTTCCTTTGCTCTAAACCACTTCACTGATACCACTTCAGTGTTGCTCAATGTTTTAGAAGCGCTTTCCTTTTTATTGCTTGTGTGGCTTGTTCCATATCACATCCTTTAAACTACCTCTCTGGATTTTCTTGTATACTGTTATATCTGCCTGCTTGTATTCAGAACATATCCATATATGTAACTATATGCACAAATGCACAGTAATTCTTCACATGGTAGGCATATGGTATTTGGTTGACTTTCTTACTAGGAAAGGAGCTATTAAAGATGGTCAATTTCTAGGTGTTTGCAATTTGCAATGCCTGTTTCAACACAGCCATCCCTAAAATCAAGACTCTGGGATCCTTTCCAGGAACACATAAAGTCACAATTATTTTCACACAGAATATAACTTGCCCTTTTCACCATACTAATGTTTGCACTGGAGGTTCAATGGCACTGGTGGTTGAGACTCCTGGCTTCCTACCACTAATGGATCAAGACAGTAGCACCAAACTGCACTTGAAGTCATTTCTAATTTTCGCAATCATAAAAGCTTCCCTAAATATAAATAAGCAAGTTTCACTTAAGAATATCCCCAGCACACAGGGAGAATATCATGTGAAGGCTAGTTATGTAGCCACAAGCCAAGGAACTATAAGAGCTTGGAGAGGCCTAGAACAGATCCCTCCTAACCATTGAAGCAGTATGGCTCTGTTGACACCTAGTTTGGGAATTCTGGCCTCCAGGATTAGGCGACAACTAATTTTTGTCTTTTAAGTTACCCATTTTGAGTACTAGCAAACTAATACAAACGGAAAGCACGGTTTGGAGGAAAAGTGTTAACATGCCATTAACTTGTATGTACTCTTGGTTGACTCTATTCTACTGAATGTCACTGATCAAAGGCCTTTGTGTAGGGCCTGATCTAAAAAGACCTCTACCCCAGTTCCATTTTCTTTCTTTATAGACCTGTCATGGACAGAACCTTACTTTTGTTGACTCTAAATAATCAATTTCCCACACATGAGCTCAAGCTTCAGTATTTTCTGTCTGTTCTGTTCAGTGCATGTCAAATAGTAGGTGCTCAAAAAATATGCCTCAAGAATGAAGAAATGAGAAAGTAATGTTTAATTTGGGAATACAGATTTTTGTGTATGGTCAAGAGCTGTTGACATTGATGGTGCTCATTCCTTTGTTCTGCTTTTCATCCCTTTTTTCCTTTTCTTCATCTCTCTTTGGGCTGGGATTTAAGTAGTTGGACTTGTTGCATGAAGGTCATGGGCCTGAGTTGCTCTTTCCCTGCTGTGGATATGTGTGTTTTTGTACCAGTTTGTCTATGAGTTGTACAGAGAAGATGAGTTCTTAGTCCTGCTCTGCCACCCCTCTTGGTAGGAGAGTTGGAGGAAACCAGACCTTCAAAGCTTGAGCACAAAGGCCTGAGGGCTTGACCTCTGCCAGACAGAAAGAGGCTGTCAGGTTACGGACCTCTGTAGGGCAAAGATTAGGACCCACGTGCAGTCATAAAGTTTAAGACATTAAACAACAGAGGAGCAGTATTTTGTGAAAGCTCAGACTTGTTGCCTTTTGAGGACCAAGGCAAGCTGAAAGAGACTCAAAACAAAGTTACGGGTTGACAGTGTAGCTCTTTGAGCTCACCAGCTAGTGAAATATAGGAAGAACAAACTCAAATAATATGCAGTGCACAGAGGAGGATATTAAGTCAGAGATGAACATTTATGGGATAAAATCCTCCAACAGAGCAGGCAATAGATAGAAGAGATATATGCCAGCTGATGTTTAGTGGCTTAGTTTTACTTACATATGATTTAAAATTCACCTACTTACAGAAAGCATTTGAGGGAGATGATGAGATGAGGGTGAGGGATAAGGTAACAATAACCCAAGGTTGTCAAGCATGATGAGGTAAGGAATGTCCCTACTTCAGGGAGGAAGGACTGGAAAGAGAAGACATTTTTGAACGTGTTCAGTATTGCAATTGTGAGTCATGAGATGGAGGGACACTGAAATAACAGTGTCACAAAACAACAATAAACATGGTAGTCAGAGAATTACCCACCTCTTTTCAGTGTAGTATCTTTGTTGCACTGAGTCAAAACTTTGACTATCAGCCGGGGTGAATGGCTCATGACTGTAATCTCAGCACTTTGGGATGAGAGGTCAAGGAGGGCAGATCAATTGGGGTCAGGAGTTTGAGACCAGTCTGTCCAATTTTTGTACATCCAAACTACAAAAATTAGCTGGGCATGGTGTTGTGTGTGCCTGTAGTCCCAGCTACTCAGGAGGCTGAAAGGCACAAGAATCGCTTCAACCCAGGAGGCAGAGGTTGCAGTGAGCTGAGATCACACCACTGCACTCCAGCCTTGGCAACAGAGTTAAGACTGTCTCAAAAAACAAAACAAAATTTGATTATCACAGGTGCATGCACACATGGACCCACACACACACACACCCATTTTGGCAGTTGCAACCGGGATCTTAAAATTACACCAAATTCCTCAGTTTTTAAAGTTTTTCCTTTCTGTGTCCTGAAAGAAACCCCCTGGTTTTCTCTTTCATTTATGTGGTCATTTCACTTCAGTTCTTTCAGAAACAACAGATGTGATACACAGGAAGAGCTCAAAAGCAAGCACCAAATGAGGATTTACAGCAAAACAGCAGTTACAACCATAGGTTTTTGAACTTGTGGATGCATAAAGATACCCACTTGGCAAGTACCTCCTTTAAGACTCCAAGGAAGAAGACTATTGACTCTTATTCCCTCTATAACTGATTCATTTATAGAATCCAACAAGAGACAGTGTCTTGCCCTGTAGCCCAGGCTAGGGTGCAGCAGCAGAATCAGGGCTCACTGTAGCCTTGAACACCTGGTCTTTCCACCACCACCTTCCAAGTAACTGGCAGTACAAGCATGCACCACTATACCTGGCTAATTTTTTTTGCTTTTTACTTTTTGAAGAGACACGGTCTCAATATGTTGCCCAGGATGGCCTGAAACTTGTGGGCTCAAGTGATCGACTCCCAAAGTGTTGGGATTACGGATGCGAGCCACTGCAATAGAAAATAACCTTTATTTTTACTTCCTGTTATGTATCAGAATTCAGCATTTGCTTTTCAACAGTACCAAATCTTAAACTGTTGGTGTCAACTGCCCGCCCCCCACCCTTTTTCTTTTGTTTTTAAGTCTTTACAAACATCAAAGATGCCCACATCCCACTGCCTAGTACTTGTAAATGCTACCTGCCAAGACAAAGTGTACTAAATGTGATGTCATTTAAGTGACAGTCCATGAAATAGAGATTATCCTGGTGGGCCCTTAAAAGTGGAGAATTGTTCCTGACTGGGTCAAAGAAAGACTATTCAGTGTATCTGAAGGATAGGACCACTAGGCAAAAAATGCACGTGACCTATAGAAGCTGAGAACAGGCCTCAGCTGCCAGTCAGCAAGCAAACAGGGAACGTGCCCTACAGCCATAGAGACCTGAATTTCTACCAATAATGTGAATGAGGAAGGAAACTAACACCGTCTCCAAAGCTTGCACAAAAGAACACAGTCCTGTTGCAGAAAGAGGCCAGACTTTGGAACAAAAAAATTGTGAGGTAAATTCCGTAAGGTGAAAAAAGAGGGGAGGAGGGAAGCGGAGGGGAAAGAAAAAGCATAACCATGGTAAGACACGAAAAATTATTTTAAAACTCCCTAACTAACAAAAACACATTTTTCTTCTATGATTTCAACAAATGTTAATTCCCTCAGGCAGCCAGAAGTATCATGCTTTTTGCACTTTATTTAGTGATGTTATTGCCATCATTCTGACCAGAGAAGATGTGAGTAACACGTATGAGGGAAAGAACGAAAAGGTTTATTTCCTGGAGGGTCAGAGGAAGAACAAGTGGTACCTAGAGATCTTAAGATGGTGCCAAAACTAGGCCCAAAATTCAAACCCTACTATTATCCACAAAGGGGAAAACACACACACACACACACACACACACACACATATATTAGGAAACAGGAATTCACTGTTTATTTGTGCAAAGAGAAAAAATATGCCACTACTGTAACTTAGCCACTGCTCTGTTTGGCAGCCAGTCTCTTGTCTCTCTCTTCAGCAATAGTAAGTCGGATGCCCTTTCCCCTGGGCAGGGAAATCCAAGGTTTATTACCCTGCAATTGAGAAGGAGATAAAATAAGTACATAAAGGGATGAAAAGGGAGGAGACGAAAGAAAGCGGGAGGGAAAGACAAAAAAAAAAAGAAAAAAAAAAACAAAACCCAACACTTCACCAAAACACGTATGCCTTGTACCTTCCTTTACATTAAGGGGCACCTAACAGAACACTACCAAGCAAAATTCCCAACAAAATAAAAACTTCCCTCTACGTGTTTCCTGAGAGTTGTCTGCCTCTCACTGTTCCTCCCACTTCCCACTGCTGAGCTGCTGAATACAAGTCTTCCTGCTTCTATTTTGTGTGAAGCAATCAGTCAAGTAGCTTTTCATGAACACCTTTTTCTATGAGGCACTCACAGTGCTGAGAAAAAAAAAAAAAAAGGCCATTAACCTCAGCTTCTCAGTTTTGAAGTGCAGAACTGTCAGCTCCCTGTCATCAGCTTTACAGAGCTTTCACATGCATCTACTCACTCCCCTGATTCCCTGCTTTCAAAAGTACAGAATGAGGTGTCATAATTCAGTACTGAGAAGAGAAATGGACCAACTATAGAGCTGCCAAGTGGCACAGCCAAAGAGGCAACAGTAGGCCTCCCTCCGTACCATATCGTCTCTCAAGTATCAAATGGCTGCCAGCGTACAAGTGTTAAGGTGCCGCTCCCAAGGCTGAATTGCTTGATGAAAAGCTTTCGATTAAATCCCTTGTCCCTTGCTTAAATCATACAGTAATGGACTTTCATGTGAGGGTACTGTGTGACTCCAGAGGTGCTCCTTCACTGAAAAGGTCTTAAAATATCTCAGAGCAAGGTCATCTTTAATGAGTAAAGGAAACTAACAGGTGGTATGTGGCTTGTAAATGTCCTTATTCTCAAATTAGCAACTCACTCATAGTCCCTTACATCAATCTTCATTATCAACTCCATGTTGAATGGTGAGGTATATGATGTAGTCTCAGGGCAGTTGGCAGACAGTGACCTTAACCCAGCACATACCAGTGGTATAGCCCTGCAGAAGTTACAAGGCTGAGTTTAACTTAATTTGCTGTGTGACAGTGCTGGCAAGTCACACAGACCTCCTCAAGAGGCAGGCGCAAGGCTCTAGATCTAACTAACACTCTTTCTGGGTCAGAGGCTCTAAATACAGAGCTTGCTGCACTCTGGGCACCTTAACAAAAGAAAAAGAAAAGAACAAACAAGCACCAGTAGTGATTGCAGGTCTTTATGCTTTTTAGGGTGAGTCTTCTTAGAAAGTAGTAAAGATAGTGGAAGTCTTACATTGCCAATGACAAAAATGTTGGAAATCCTTGTGGCAAAGCTGTTGCCACTGGCATCCTTCACATGCACCACATCGAAAGAACCAGGATGTCTTTCCCTGTTTGTGATCACACCAACACGACCGAGGTTAGCTCCACCAATCACCATACACACATTGCCTAGAGGGAAAGGAAAACAAAAAGAAGAGCAGTCATTTTAAAACCAGATAGAGGCCTGCTGCCTTTAAAACCAATTAACACAGATGGGCTCACCGGGACAAAAAAATGGAGGATCATTCCAAAATCATAATTTCAAGAACTCTTATCACTATGAACATGCTTTTTGTGAAGCAGATTGCAGTCAGCATTTTAAGGCAAGCCCCTAAGGATTTTTCCAACAACAAGCTTTCCCTGCATTGTTTGTCCAACAATAATTCTTCAAAGGTTAAATAAATAATCATTTTGGGGGGGGCGGGAGAAAAGATGGCACGGAAGAGTACTAGGTGGGTGGGAAGAAAGGAAGGATGACTGAGAGGGAGGGAGAACTGGAGAAATTCAGGCTAATCAGAAAGACACTAGACAATAGTGAAAGGCCTTTAACTGACTGCTAGTTAATCCAATCCATAGAGGGGGAAAGTTCCAATGTTCTGATGGCTGTCACGGGGTCCCTGGAACAATAACGTTCATTTCAGTTATCTGGACTTATTTTTGTGGGACATAACCACCTAATATAAGCATCCTATACAGGGCACAGGCCACCATGTCAAGGAAGTTTTATTTATCACAGAATAAGCATGTTTTAAGAAAAAGTTTCCCTCAAACCATTGCTAATAAAGACTCAGCCATGAGTCCACTTTTTTATGTGAAGACACATTAAAAAAAAAAAAAAAGAAAGGAAAAAAAACAGAAGACACACCAAAATCAGAGAATGCAGCCCTGTCTTAATGTCAACAAAACAAAACACAAACTAGTAACCTAGCCTAAAAAACTCCAGGGTAAGTTTGAAATTATAATCTATGAATCAAGGGGAAAAACACTTACTAAGCTCTCAAAACCTGACGGGAAAAGAAGAAACCAACTCAGCCTGAGGGTCTTAAAGATGAGGTTCTGGAATAAAAGAAAATTAAAATTATGTTTTGGGTGAAAATTGCTCAATTTGACAATGAACAAAGAAATTTCTGTAGTTTGACCCTCCCTACCACAAAGATGTTTGCTGATCCAAAATGCAGATTTTTAACAGAAATCCAGGGCCAGTGGGAAATATGTGTTTGGGTACAGTGAGAAGTCACAGGAATTAAAAGGACCAAAGGTTTTGCCTCAGCATTAGCAAGTGTACTGAGAGTCAGAGAAGTGATTTGAAAGTAATTTTTTGTAACTGCTGGTATTGCATTTATTCCAGATGGTATGGATACCCAATAATGTGCAGGTAAGTCACAAGAAAGCACCCACACACTCCTACCAGAAAGATAAAAAAAATCACATTAACAGCCCAAGATTTTGTTTCTTAGGTCCGTATACTCGGCCAGTTCTTTAGGGTTCTTGTGGCAGCCACTGAGAAGACAGTTAAACGAGCAGCACCCAACATCTTCAGCTACAAAAAATTTTTGTACACTATGCTTTAGTGCAGAGTTTAGGAAGATCTGGACAAAAACACCTGGTCAGTAACAAAATGCAAGGTTTGTTCTATCTGATAAGCAGAAGATGGCACCTGAAAAAGAGGTGAGATGAAATGCCAATGAAAGCTTGGGTGTTTTGTTCAAAAGACCCAATTGCAGAGACTCCTGTAAAAGAAACTCAGTACTTGGGAAAGAGCAGCAGAAATGCCTCGGACTGCTTATGTCAATAATAAGGTCCACAAAGGTTTTTCAGTTTATTTTCCAGAGTCCTTATGTGGAAACACTATGGACTTAGGATGCACAGGGAAAAAACAGAACTAAGTTACTCATCATAAGATTCAAATTGTTAATAATAGTTCCTTCCCTTCACTTGCTTGCCACTGCTTCTAGAAGTGAAGAAAGGGTATAAACTGATGAAAACACTGACTCTTTCAAGGTGTGTTAAGTTCCAATAAAAAGCCCCTGACATTTAGGAAAGTACTCACCAGGGCACTTTAGTATATGTAAGATGAAAGCTAAGACCTTTCACAAGAATCACTGTCACTCTTGAATGTGTCAGATCTATTCTTTATATCTATTAGACAACCCTCAGGAAAACAGATTAAGTGGAAACTACTGTTGACTTTTGTTGTGAGACTCTGCCTTCCTTCTGATGGCCTCACAACGACAGTGGAATAGAAATCAAAGCGCTGGGTTCAGTCTCCAAGTGAAAGCTCTAACCGGAGACCCTCAAGGCAGAACCCTCACAAACACATGAGCCCAAAAACAACCCTGTCTTCCTAACAAAATACAGAATTTAGCCAGGTGGTCATGTTTGTAATCCCAGCACTCTGGTGGCTTGAGGTGGCAGTTCACATGAGGACAGGAGTTCAATACCAGTTTGGCCAACATGGTGAAACCCAATCTCTACTAAAAATACAAAAATTGGCTGCATGTGGTGGTGGGCAACTGTTCCCAGCCTCTTGGAAGGCTGAGGCAGGAGAATCACTTGAACCCCAGAGGCAGAGGCTGCAGTGTGCCAAGGCTGCACCACTGCACTCCAAACACAGCGAGACTCTGTCTTTAAAAAAAAAAAAAAAAAAAAAATTGACCTCATATTGTTCTTACTAACAATACTTTACATATAGTGTATAGCATGGAAGAAACTAAGACACCATGATAAAAAACCACCATCATCACCATAGCATCAAACCAAATGCAGAACTTGGAAATGCCTTGAAAGAGTCTACAAGGACACAAGCAAAACAAAACAGAATAAACTAATGTAAATCAGCAACAAGAAGCCCACCTTTGCAGAGTGACCTACTGGATCTGAAAATCAAATAATGAAAAATTTAGTGACCAAAATTAAGAATGGAAAGGAACAGGTTTAAAGAAACATGCCCACAATTGGTTGCAGAGAGAATCAGAAAAACAGAAGGTGCTGGGAGGAAATGCTCATGATGTACCATGGAAAGACAAAGGATGAAAAACAGAGAAGACTGGATGACTGGGTCTACTGTGAGAAGTTCTAATACAAGTTAAATGCAAGTTCAGAAAACCAAGGTGAGAGGTTAGGGACAAAACAGTATGTGAAAACACAATTTTCTAGAATGATGCCAACCCAGATGCATGAAATCCGTCAAAAATCTCAAGAACAGTAAAAACAGAAACAGGATATTCCCACCCACATCCTGCCACTATCACAGAGGAGAATAAAGAAGGTAGTTAATCCTGAGCTTTGATGATTTCAATATGCACACTGTAATCACAAGCACAACCACTTAAAAACAACAGAAACAGATGTGGCTTTATTTCAAAACCACCAAGGAAACATAAATAAAAACTAAAACATTAAAAAATAATAACACAGCAGACATCAGTAAAATGGCACAAGAGGAGGCCCCAGGCTCTCCCTCCCTACTGGACATACAGACTTCACAACAACATATGCAACTAAACTGCACTGGTGAATACTCCACAAATCAGTTAAGAAGCTGCAGGACCCCAGGCCAGCACAAAGCCAAGAAAAGCAGCAATAACCCAATAGAAACATTTGTGGCTTTTTACCTGCACAAGACACTCCACTTCCCCAGCACTGCATAACACATTTGTGAGAAAAAAATCCAAAATCCTGGCTTCTCCCACAGGAAGGAAAGAGAAATGTCAACGATGGATGGACGTTCTGGCCTTTCAAGGGATCAAAAGCCACCTGAAAAACTGCTTTCTGTCTTATGTAAGTTAGCACTGACAAGGAAGGTAGTTTGGACACCCAGGCTCGAGAGACTCAGAGAAAGAAGACAAGGCATGCAGGTAGGGTGTGGTGGCTTGGGCCTATAATCCTAGCACTTTGGGAGGCTGTGGTGGACAGATCACTTAAGGCCAGGAGTTAGAGACCAGCCTGGTCAATATGGTGAAACCCTGTCTCTACTAAAAATAGAAAAAACTAGCTAGGCATGTTGGTACATGCCTGGAATCCCAGCTACTAAGGAGTCTGAGGCAGGAGAATGCTTGAACCCAAAAGGTGGAGGTTGCAGTTGAGATCATGCCACTACACTCCAGCTTGGGTGACAAAGGAAGACTGTCTCAAAAACAACAACAACAACAAAAAAAACACAGACCTGTGAGTTTTGGGAGGTCAGGACAGTTGTTACAGCACCAGACAGGCTGTACTACCACAGACAATCATCAGGGAATGAAAGAAGTTAGGGGCTTCAGAGAAGTACAGCTAGGAAAGTGCACACACAAATCCCGAGCTGAGAGATCTCCAGAACCTCTGGCCTGGTTGACTGATGAAAGTCATCGTTCCTGTATGAAGACACCTGGTAGAGACTGGAGGAGGTGGCTGTGTTTCTCTAGAAAAATGAGCCTAGACAAATGATGATCTATGAGTTACCCACAAGGAATTCAAACTAACCATCTTAAAGATGCACATCAAACTAAGCGAGCACAGACAGGCAAACAAAATCAGAAAAACAACACATAAACATGAGAGTTACCAAAAAAGTGAAGGAAACCCACAACAAATAATCAAACTAGAGCTGAAAACCATTAAAATGAATTGAAAAATTCACAGGTTCCAAACAAGTTTGCAAACCTGAAGACAGGCTATTGAAGTTAACAAGCTAGAGGAGCAAAAAGGAAAAAAAAAATAACAAAGAAAGGTGGGCCTAAAGAAGGGAGTATGAGACACCATCAAGAGGAACAATACACAAATTACAGGAGTCATAGAAGAACCAGAGACAGAAACAGAATATGAGAAGGTGATTTGGTAGAAAGAGGGGGAAGGGCAGAAGGACTACCAGAAAAAACATAATGGCCCAGGCGTGGTGGCACACGCCTGTAATCCCAGCACTTTGGGAGGCTAAGTGGGCGGATCACAAGGTCAGGAGATCGAGACCATCCTGGCTAACATGGTGAAACACTGTCTCTACTAAAAAGACAAAAAATTCGCCAGGCATGGTGGTGGGCGCCTGTAGTCCCAGCTACTCAGGAGGCTGAAGCAGAAGAATGGCATGAACCCGGGAGGCGGAATTTGAAGTGAGCTGAGATCGCGCCACTGAACTCCAGCCTGGGTGACAGAGC